CCCCCCGAGTATAGCCCCAGCAAAGCCCCCCTTGCTGGGAAGAGGCCAAATGTAGACCCCAGCCTGCCCTTGCCCCATGCACAAATCGAGCAGGCACATGCCCCCCACACCTCTCCCACTGTCCCCCGCCCTTCCCAACCCCCTAGACAAGCCACCTGCAGCTGTCCCACACCCCACCCTGGCTGGGCAGCACCTGCCCCTGCCTGTCCTTCCCTCATTGTTTGAGGCCTTGATCTGTGCCCTCCCTTATACGCCTTTCCCCACACAGATTTACTGGCTAGACTCTGCTCTCCATGCTGCTGGGCTCCATTCCTGACCATGTGCATGCTGCAGTGTGTGCATGCACATGGCATTTATCAGTGACATTAACTGGCTACACCAGCCAAAAAAAGCCAATTGCCAATATTGTTAATTTTTCTGTTACTGGTGCCAATCCAATATGGACTGATGCATCAGTGCACCTCTAACATTTACTCTTACTATGTTGCATGTATTGCACACTCATTAATATAGGTAGGCCTAAGCAATAATATCTCATGTTTATTACAGTAACATCCAAATAGGGGATCAAAACCTTTTGCACTAGGTACTGTGAATGCATATGGACCAATAAAGATGGTAAGCTGAGTGTAACAAGGACCAACTCCTGTTAACTGCCTAGCCCTAATCGCAGTAAAGTTAGAAAGCTGCAGAGTCCCAGATAATAAGCAGCTAGCAGCCTGCTGAGGTGACCTCAGGTCAGACGGAGGAGGAGCCAGGACTATAAGCCCTGTACCAGAGGCAGTGGGGTCAGTTTGATTTGGGCAGAGCTGGAGATGGACCTCTTGGCTGATGGAAGCAGCACTGGGAATTTGAGACTATCCTAGGCTATGCAAGCAGAAACTCCTTATACAAAGCTAAAGGGGCAGTACCAGAGCCTAAGTAAACTGTGCAGGGGCCCAGGAGGGCCAGAGCTACTTGAAACCAATGGGACTGAGGGAAAGCCTGGGAAATGGTTGTAGAAAGTCAACCCACTGCAATGAATTATGTCTGAGCTTTGCTCATTGCATTTGGAACCACAAGGGATGGGAATGGATGAAGGGGCAGAAGAAAGCTATTGAATGTGCCTAGGGAAGGTGCTGCAGTCAAAGGACCATTAGAGACTGGGGGCTAAGCCTGAGAACCAAAGGAATCATTCTGGTGGACTGGGGCAGCCCCCCAAATTTAAATAGCAAAAGGTATGGCAGGCAAGTACAGGGAGGTACCCCAATTAACCAGAGAAGAAAAGATATAGGATTAGAGTTGGCCACCAGGAGGTGCCACACCCACCTTTAGACGATAAATCTCATTCCACGAGACACACAACACGGCTAAAAAAACAGAAGCAGAAGAATTTACTTTAACTCTCCATTACATACCACAGCTACACTACTTGTACTACTCACGTTCTGGCTGTTTTTCATTAGGAGTTATGGATCTCACAAAATCTTGTGGCGTCATAAACACCTCTGAATCTCCGTGTTCATTTATTACTTTCAAAGTGGCAAAGTATCTGAAGATTTTGTCTGGAGTGGAGTAGGCCCGGATCCTATTCTCATATTCCATCACCTAGAAAAGACGTTAAAGAGAGTTCAGTCCGTGACAGATGTACTCTTGGCAGCCATATTTAGTAGTCTTGTTAAAATTCTGTACAATCACAAGAGGTTCCAAATGAAACAGCTGCTATACAATGCCAAAGGAAGATAGTGTCATCAACTCAATTTTATTCTGGGTTTTACGATACTTTGTTTTCCTAAAAGCCTCCACTCCTTATGTCACTTAATTACTTGAGAATATTAACTTTCATTTTTAAATGAAGATTCTAGTCTTCAGGCTTTCACAGAAAAGAAAAAAAAAATGTGAAAAATTTTGCAGTGTGTTCAGAAACCAGAAGGGAAATAAATACCTCCCCCTGCCCCCAATATATTATTTAAAAATATATATCAGAATTTTTAAAACTAAATGAATACTTTTGGAAGCCCGACTCTCAAGCTCTGAACACTTGGTCTCTGCTTCAGTTTTGTGAGGGATAAGACTAGAAAGGGAAGAGAACAGGGCTTCATTTCTTGGTCACAGTTGGGAAAGATGGCTGCAGGTTACTCTGTCCCTCATTCACAAAAGGCATCATTTTGTCTAATTTCTGCTTTATGCACCATGTTTACAACATTTTGCAGATGTCCTAGGCTCACACCTTTTTCCAATTTGACATTTTTGAGGCCCACAAGCAGCAGTTTTCCTATGTTTAAAATAAGTGTTCTTAATTAGTTAGGGTGGACAGACTACAAAAGTGGGCAGATGAGAATAGGATGGGGTTCAACGTAGACAAATGCAGGGTGCTGCACCTTGGGAAAAGGAATCCACAGCATACATACAGGCTGGGGAGTTCCCCTCTTGAAAGCACAGAGGCAGAATGGGATCTTGGAGTCATTATTGGCTCCAAGATGAACACGAGCTGCCAATGCCAGACTGCAGCCAGCAAGACCAGCCATACTCCCCCTCTATGCAACTCTGGTCAGGCCGCAGTTGGAGTAGTGCATCCAGAAGTGTGGCGCCTAGTACAAGAGGGATGTGGCCAGCCTGGAGAGGGTTCAGAGGAGGGCCATCCACTTGGTGAGAGGGCAGCAGGACAGGCCCTATGAGGAGAGACTGAGGGACCTGAATCTGTTCAGCCTCAGCAAGAGGAGGCTGATGGGGAACCTGGTGGCTGCCTACATACTCATCAGGGGAGATCAAGAGCAAATAGATAGAGCCCTTTTCTCCCCAGCACCACCTGGGGTGATGAGGAACAATGGTAATAAGCTGATGGAGAATAGGTTTAGGTTAGAGATCAGAAGGCAATTTTTTTACAGTTAGGGTGGCCAAAATCTGGAACCAACTTCCTTCCCTACCTTGGGCAAATTCAAGAGGAGGTTGGATGATCACCTGTCTGGGGTCTTGTGAACCCAGCATTCATTCCTGCCTGTGGCAGGGGGTCAGGCTAGATGATCTGTTCAGGTCCCTCCTGACCCTAGCTACTACGAAACTATGAAAATCAGCAGAAAGCCTAACACAGCAGTGAGCAAAGGCCAATATGCAAAAATATCAGACTCAAATCCCACTATGTTCAAAAGTAGTAACTCTGTTCATTCATTAGCTTTTTTCTACACCACTACAGTTTATCATTCATTTGCTTTTTCAGACTTATTTCCATAAACACCATCTCCCCTAACCTTATATTTAAAAAAAAAATGCTATCAGACCAAACCCAGATCTGACAGAACTCAGTTCAGAACACAAGGCTCTACAACAGGGATGGCTAGCCTGTGGCATGCGTGACAAGTAGTTTCTGTGTGTGGCATGCACCACATTGTGGATGGGGTAGTCAGCACAGCAGCAGGTAGGAGATGGAGCAGGAAGCAGAGCAGCAGATCACACAGAGAGCACAGGGCACGGAGCAGGAAACAGAGCAGCAGGTTGGACATATGAAGGGAATTTGACTGGCACTCAAGGGAGTGGCAGGCTGTAATCTGTTGCATGCCTAGCAAGGTTAGCCTTCACTGCTCTAGAGCAAGAGGACTTCAAGTTTCAGTGTAATTTCTGCACTCTTATTGGGCTATAGTTTAAGATCAGGTATTACTAAAACACAATATAAACAGCAAAACAGTGACAGATCGAAGTAGTATTTCCCATCACTTGGATTGAAAGTTGCTAACATTTGGAGAGAGGTTGGAGCAAATATGCAATAATAAATCAATTCAAAGTCTTGCTAGTGAGGCAAGAAGCAATTGTTTTCATGATTTACATGAAGAATCTCTTTTGAGGTCTAATAAAACTATACATATCAAGGGATAAAGATTTCTGAAAGTGACAAATGATCACATACTTGACCAAGACATTATTCATACCAAAGATCAAATCTAAAAATTTAGAAATTAAATTAGTATCATGTACACTGTTCTCATCACAAATCAGTTTCAAAAACACCTTTAACATTCAACCTTCCTAACAGAGCAACAGGCAAGGTTGGTAATCTTTTCCCTTTAACTGCAGCTCTGCTCACAATTGCTTCAATAATCACTGCTGTTTTTCCATCAGCTGGTAAAACATACATAATATACTGCAAGTGACATCTCTGCTTCAAATTGCTCTTAATTCTAAATCCATAGCAAACTTTAGTTTAGAAATATATAGGATTTTATTAAGGTAAGAAATAAGCCTTGTATTCAAGCATCAGTGCTGGAGGTATAAAAGCTACAGGTCTTTCCTGACCTCAGCACAAAACAGCACAGCTCCATTTTCAAAGGCAAAGAAAAGAAAGTAGAGGTAGGGCATGATCTGATACTCCATCACAGGAAGTTGGCTTCACATTTAAAAGGTTCAAACCTTATAACGATGAGTTGCAGGAGTACTGAGGAACAGAAGTTGAAGTTTGGAACAAATTTGGAGAAGCAGGACCACTCTGAGAGGCCTAAAACTTGGCATTAGAAATAAACCTTGGGTGAGACCAGAACAAGATTCAAGTGGACTTAAGGAAGAAAGGAAGGGTAGTGAAGAGAAAGTTGAACAGAAAGATGCAGGGAATGGGAAAAGTAAGAAGGGAAGAATAAGGAAAGAAAAATTAAAAGGAAGTAGAGAAAAGGGCAAAAAAAGAGAGTAAAAAAATGGGGAAAAGGACAGGCCTGGTAACAGGAAAAAAAACCATGGAAGAAATGAGTCAAGGCATGTGTCACAAGCTTGTCTGCTGGAAACCACTGTAGCCTTGAGTTTCTCACCACTGTGCTGCCACTTGCCCCAAGTAATAGACCAAGGTTGCCCTGGGAGAGCTCCTGGTCCCAGCAACCCCCGTTCCATTGCCTTATACTGGGCCCTGAAGCTGCAGTGGTGGAAATCTCTGCAAACCCTGAGATGCCCCCACTTTGGGTTGTAGAAGTTACAGGTCCCCCCGCTCCATAGAGTCAGCCTGGAATATCACCTGTCGCAAAAAATCACCCCTTTCACAGGCAATCAAGGAAACAACAAAAGAATTTATTATAAAACAAGCATGAGAAATCAGTAACCATACACTGATACAGAGATATAAAAGAAAATACCAGAACACTGATCTGTTCTTACCCGGCACCATAAATCCTAAAATACAGTCCTTAGCCAGCTTCCCATGACAGAGAGCAGACTCCACCTCTGACTTCATGCCAAAGCCTTCTGCATCTCTCCATCAGCTTGCTTTTCCTTGGCTAGGGAACCTAATCCTCACTTCCCCCCCAACCACCCACCCACACTTTAACCCAGGAAGACTGAATTTCAAGCCATGCTTCAAGGCAGGCTTTAAGTACCACTGCCAGTCTGGCAATTAACAGACATCACCCCTTCATTTTTAGTGGGACTCATGCTATGCCTAACATCTGAAGGTGCTCATTTACTAGACCAGAAATGTGCATCCTTTTTAGATATCCTTCACTAATCCAATATTAATCTCTCCTGTATGACACTTTGCTAATCAAACTAGTACACTCTTCTTATAAAATGTACATTTATCATTGTCTGGCCAAAAACAGGCTTCCTGTGCCTCTTAGTGTACCCACATGGGGGACCAGTAAGCAGCCCAAGTCAAATACTAATTCTCAGCCATTAACTCATTTAAGGGTGAAGAGATGAGGACTGCTCAAGTTAATCACTACCTTCCTGACACAGCCTTGGCTGAAATATAAAAGTTACATCAGAATTACAACTATACCAAATACTATAACACATACAGTTATGAGAACAATAAAAGACTGAACACAGTTTGGACTGGCTAAAATTAAAGACTAAACACAGAGTGAACCTAATTTGGGAGAGTATCCACATAGTGAACCCCTAGAAGTAACTTTGTTTTGGGGTGAATCTGTGACAAGATGTAACATGGATAATTAAGGAAGAAGAAAGAGTGATGTACCAAGTTAAAGATTAAATTTGAAATTAGAAAAAAAACAACCCAGTAACAAAATGACAATACTCCAAATATTTAGTGCTTGCCTTACACACACATTTGTCTACAATACATGCATACAACTTTCTTAGGTCATTTCAACACAAAAACATTAATACTTCAGGTGCATTTAGAAGATTCTGAATTTAAGCCAACTCTAGTAGAGATGCTTCCAACGGAAAAAAAAATAACCTTTTGTTTGTTTGATGGAATAAGCCTGGTTGACAGGCTTTTCAAAAGGATATAATCTACATGGGACTCTTTTTCTGTTACTGAATGTTTTTCACACATTTGTTCAGCTTTGACATCAGACCACCTTCAAGCGTGAGACTCTAGCTCTGAAAAACTAAACTCTCAGCTGATCTCATAGTGGCATTGACCAAATCAAAAAGGGAAGAAGTTCCATTTTGCTAAGAACAAAATACAAATATTTCAAAGGATAATGGACAAAATTGAAAACTAGCAAAAAAGGAATCCCATGAGCCGAACAAGACTCAGAGCTACTATTCTGAAAGCTTTACAACCACTCTGTACATACGGTTGAAGAGGGAAAAAATTATAGCCATGAAGAGAAAATAAAATAAATCTAAGGGTCTCCATAATTACCATTTTAATATACTTCCAC